TTCTCACCTACATCGTCCATATAGGACGACTCGGGAACTCAACTCCTACCCCGGGCAGCTCACCTATCCCCTTATGCCCAGGGGAAAGGTATCAAGCCGTTTGACAGCTGATGCTAGCTGTCAAACCGGCTTTTACGCGAAACAGGCGGGAGGCAGCAAACAGCTGCGACCGACGAAGACGCCTGCCACCGGAAGTCCGCTATTAGATTCTTTTTAAAGTATTTAAAAGGCATGATACATATTCTATGAAATTCAATCTTTAGTGCAAACAATTTAGATGATATAACTGCTTAAGATAACTGCTTGAGTCACAACTGAAATTTAATTTTAAAACATTCATAATATAATCAGACATATATTCTGTCTGATCCTGTCAAACAGCATCACAGTCTGGTTTAGAAGCATCACTGCTTCAGACACTCCCTTCCATCCAGGACATAGCATATAAGTGTTGCTTGAGCAGGGTCTGCAAGATTGTCTGGGACACTACACATCCTCTTCACGACCTGTTTTCCTTGTTACCTTCTGGGAAGAGGCTCCGTGGTATCCGAAGCAGAACATCCAGATTCAGTCACAGCTTTGTTCCATACATATGAGGGTCTATACATATGTTGTATATAGTATGTTTTAAATGTGTGTTATTTATGTGTACACTTTGAGAGGAAGCAACTAAATTTCATTTTAATGTGTGCCATTGTGCCCACAGGAAAAAGTGACAATAAATCTAATCTAATCTAATCTAATCTAATCTTCTATTGTTTCATGTTGTTCATGAGTCAGAAGTGATGTCACTGTTCTTTCAAAATATGTGGATACTCTATTTGATTCGAAATATCATAAAAGGTGCCATGGACAGTGTTGTGACATCATTGGACTGAGCAGGCCAAAATATGAGGGTTCTTTTTTTTGTTGTTTCATTTATCCCTTAACGAGCCCAATAGGAGAAATTATGTTTTCAATTATATTTGCAAAAAATGAAAAATGATCCCATGCATTCTGGGGACATCTGGAGTCATGTATGTAGTGCTGTGGAACAGAGAATACACATTTGTTGTATTGGATTAAGCATTTAAATTATAGTTAACATTGAATTTTAAATTGTGGTTAAACATTGATCAAAGTTCTCCAATTTCTTCCTTATTATAATAGTAAGGGAGAATGATAAATATTCAAGTCTAAGGCTCAAGGTCTTGCTTACATAATGATAAAACTGTAATTCATTTTAGCATTTAAGCATATTATACACACATACATACATACATACATATGCACATATATATATTACAAGAATTCAATCCCTAACATTCCATTTCCAGTCCTAAATGGTTAGCAGTTCTGGGAGTTGCAATCCCCTCACATTAGGGAATGCTAGATTGGAGAAGGATAGTTGAATCACTTCTATCATATTCTGAAAAATACTTATTTTTAAATTAAAAATGCTTAAATATAAAATTGCCAAGTTGACAGTATATTTACATAACATCAGCCTTGCTTGAAAGCTCAGCTAAACAGCATATGTAGTATTCTGAATATCTATGTTTTAATGGAAATAGCTACCAAATATCTGCTGACATTGTGATTTCACAATCAACAAGTAAAGTAGAAAATGATTAACCTCTTTTTTAACACTGTAATAAATGCTGGTAGATTGGATAACTGGACAAAATTACCAATTTGTTGCAGAATGATTCTGTAGAAACAAAGACAAATTTGTTTTGAAGTCACCAAACTTGATAAAACCAAGCAGTGATTTCCCCATCCTAAACCCTTGCTTCTCAGCGAAGTCAGCTTTCCTGCTTGGAGAATAATAGGGGGAACAGGAATTAAGTAAGTTGTGTTCAGAAGAGCTTGGGCAGACTCTCTTGTGATTGCTTTATCTAGACTCTATCTAGACTCTGCTCAAAAAAGATTACTCTTAATGGGGGGGGAGTAATTGAGTAACCATGTGTGCCCAACATTCCAGCCAATGTTGAACAATTACAGTTGGAGCTTAGATTATGGGCTTTTTCTTTTGCTTGGAATAGCAATTTGTTTTGATCTCCTTGCACACACATGGAAACTTCTGCAACATAGTTGGGATTGTGACATGTTCCAATATTAGCAAAACCTCTTCTCTTACTTGCCAATTTGACAGCTACCCTACTTTTTAAGATCAATCAAATATGTTGTGCAAT